CTATATGCAGCCAAATCAAGGCCATGCAACTTTCCAGTGAATTTAAGAGAAAATTCTGCTGTGTACATGTGCACAATTATTTCCTTGAATCTAATACCAGCTTCACTAGATTGAAGTCTTCAAACCCAGAGTAAGATTTGCTGGGACCAAGGAGGCAGCTGGAGACTTTAAAAGGTGTTAAGGAATTGAGATGTTATATTCAATTTGGTACTAGTCTTTCAAGTTTATGACCCACTAAGATGTACTCACTGGTTAAAACATAACGAGAAAAAAAAAAAACATAACAAAAGCCTACAGGCAATGAGGCCAGCCCTCACTTACAGCTTCCTCCCAGTAATAATCAAAGGGTATTTGTAAAGAACATGCCTTTTAAAGACCTCCTCCTGAAGCAGAGCAACCCTGCCCTATGGAGACTGGCCTGGGAATTGCCTTCACAAGCCTGCCTTATACTGCCTTACTCTGCCTTTTGGAGAAACAGAGCATCCAAAGTCTTAGAAACAATGTTTGCATACAGTAGTTGCTGAATAAATGACTGGTGAATGCTTAATTAACAGTCTTCCTATCTGGGATGACCTGGTGCAGGGAAATCTGCCTATGTTATGAAACAATTCTCAGATCTTAAGGTTATTTTTTGAGCATGGAAAAGACAGCTTTTATACTATAAAACTGTTAATACTTTATGAATGTAAATGATCCAACTTTACCTTAAAAAAAAAAAAAGGAAAATCTAACCTTGAATTTTAATTTAGAAGACCATGTGCAAATAAAGCTAATTACTTGTAAACAACTATCAGGGGGTCAAGGCCATGATGAAAATGAACTGCAGTGAACTTTCACTGGGCTCAAGAACAGGCTTCCAGGGAAGCTGGCCTCCTACCCTTTCTGTGGATGCTTTTACTGCTGACTCATGGTCTCCAAAAGCTAGTGCGCTCTGGGTATGCTGATGGCCCTGGAGAGCTTTGGTTAACCCTTTGCTTTAGCTGGCCTTTAGTCCATCCCCACAAGTAAACAGTGGTAACATTCACAGTCAAAAGGAAAGAGTCTTCAAGATGTTGTGATGCTGGTACAGTAAACATGCAGAACAACAGAATGAGGCCCAGACTCATATGCTTTCAAAAAAGCTATCAACAGAATTCAATGAATAGATGAGTTTTTCAGCAAATGATGCTGACTGATTTCCACTTAAACGGAAGGCCACTGAACCTCCTATGGCACACAAAAATTAACTCCAAGTAGATGAAAAACTGAATCGAGAAATATAACCATGAAACTTCTAGAAAATCTTTATGCCCTTGAGCTTGGGCAATGTAGGTTATTTTTGGTTTTTTTTTTTTGTTTGTTTGTTTGTTTGTTTTGAGATAGATCAGAAACGCTTGGAACTCACTAAATGTCCTAGGCTGCATCTAAACTCACAATAATCCTTCCGACTCTGCCTCCCCAGTGTTAAGATTATAGACATGAAACACTTTGCCTGGCTATCCTTAGGACACAAAAGAAAAGAACTATTAAAGAAAAGAAAAAAGAGAGAAAAACAAGGTAAGTTCAACTTCAACAAAATGAATGTTCCTCAAGTGAGAATACCAAGAAAACAAACAAACAAAAAATAAGCCACAAACAGGGGAAAATATTTCTAAGAAAAAACTCAGTAAAGGACTTGTATCAAATATGCAAACAAACTTTCAATTCAGTAAAACCATGACATACCAACAATAACTATCCTGGGTAAGACACTCCAACAGACAAGGGTGCAAGGGTGGCAGAGAGAGAAACTGCTCATCATCAGCCACTGGGAAATACGAATCGAGATCCTACCTGTAAGCAAGTATCCAGGATGAATGGAAGTTATGCAAGTTATGTACCTATAAAAAGAACCATCTGTGGACAGGATACAACTTTATCCACAACAAAACTCCAAATCCTATGACCTGAAGATCCAGATTGAAATAATATCCAGCAACAAATTCTTTGGAGATTATAACCAAACAACCATTATTGTAAACAACCATTTACAACATGCAAGCGGGGATGAATCTCCAAAGTATTATGCTGTTTAAAAAATAGGCACAGAGTATCTATCTATCTATCTATCTATCTATCTATCTATCTATCTATCTAT